GTTTCTTGTAGGGTTATGATATGTGATACAATAAGCCATAAACTAATTAATTACTAATCAATTGAGCAGATATTTCTTTCCAGAGGTGATTTTCTTGAGAAATATTTTTACTGTTTAGGCTTTGCAGACTTCAGTGTTGAGGATTTTGCATACCATGTGCATTCAAAATGTGGAAATTTAGTGCATGAGAGTAATTTAATGAACTTGTAGTTTCTTCTAAACCCCAGCTAAGATTAACATTTAAATTAATTCTCATCTATCTTTCATTGCAACTACTGTGGCTAACATGACTTGAAAGAATTACACAAAACTTTTAAAAGGTAATTAACTTTGCAAGGATACTTCACAGCATATATGATTCTACAGGTTATGTCACTCATTATTCAGCATCGTCTGAAGCTTTCTAATATTACTAAATTCCAATGTAAATCCACATGAACACCTTACTAATTTTTACTTCATGCATCCCCAAAAATACTGCTCAGCAACAAAATAAGTTAGAAATCATGACGTGTAAGCAGTCAAACATTTGCTTTCACAATCCAAAGGTGAAAAAGAAATACTGTCAGAGTGAAAATGCAGTGGTAGTAATGAGAGTACATCATGGTATCATTATGTGGGTCTTAAATATGACCTAAAAGGACAATGTATCTCTAAGAAAATAAACGCTTGTAATGCACATATTAGGAGCAAAAACTATTTGGGGCAGTATTATGTCAATAGCATTGATTATTGGGAAAACCTTATACAAAAGAAATTACTTAGTTCTATATCTGAAAGTTTATGGGGTAGTTTTTTGTAGCCTTATTTCTACTTTGCCTATCAGGCCAAAGCTGGATACGCCCCAGCACCTCAGTGTGTTTCTTGGAACTCAGAACAGAACACAGGACTGGAGGTGCGTCCTCAGCAGTGCTGTGTACGGGGCACAGTGCTCCTCAGTGAAGTGCACATGGCTCCCACCCCTGTCCCTGTGCCTGAGGAACGCTTTCAGTAGCTATGTACATGTGTGTGCACGTCCCAAAACCTATCCCGCATTCTGGAATGCAAACACAGAAACAGCAGCTGTTCAGCAGGATGCAACACAGGCTGATTGGCTACTTCATGGAAAAAGAATTGCATATGGGTTTAGCTTTCATTTAAACAAAATGAAGAATTATATAATATTTCCTTGCTTGATTTTTATAGCATAAGAGTAAAATCCTGATTTTTATAATGTCTCCTATACATGATAAAACGTATAGAACAAACAGCTCAGCTTTTTAATGCATTTAATTATGCATCAGAAAAGTAATTTAACAAGAAAAACACCTTTCAATTCCATAATCTATTTTACACCTACTTTGCACAATAATTTTCAAAACAACTATAGTGTGACACAGTATGGTTTTCAATGTACAAAACCACATTAGGAGTGCATTCAGGTTACGTCCTTAAATCACAAAATGTCACTATAACCTGTTATGTATTAAGAAATTTTAAAAGACCTTGGAAGCAGACCTTTACAATAGCAAAAAATATTGTAAGGCTCCTGTGGTCTATTTAACACTTCAAAAAGCTTTCACCTTATGCAATAATGGGCATACCTCTGAAAATCATACTGTCCACTACATTTCTACAGCATCTTTCACTCAAAAATATTTGTATTCACATTTCTGGCAACCTCTTAAACAGAAGAGAACAACCAGAAGTACTGAAGCCATCTAGGGCAACTTCTGACTGTTATGAAAAATGCCATGGGTATTGCTGGCTTTTTAGAACAGGCAAGGCTTTGTTTTTAGTAATTTAACTTGTATAAAAATCCCATAGTTAGTAATGTACCTGGAACTTCATGTTTCTACCTAAGACAGAAGTTCTCCTTCAAATATCAGTTGCAATTAGCAGTTCTCACTACCCGCAAAATTTGAAGGTTATGCTAACAGTAATCAGAACTGGGTATTAATCTGCAAACATTTATACTAAATATACAATAACCCGAGTACATTCACCAAGTGCGGCGGGTGGCAGCTTGCCACATGGATTAATGCCTCCAGATAAATGATTGTTTTACCTCAAACCATGGACAAAAGATGACATTATTGCAATGGTGTAATTAATAACCTACCACTTCATTGATTGTTACAATGATAACTTCATGGATCAGCTTGAAAAATCTGGGCAACTTTAAAGGTTTTGTTGTGGTTTTTTTTTTCCCTTTGGCTATTCAGTAGAAGAGACAATGAATATTGTGTTAACTTGGTATTCTCTGATGCAGCCTTCTGTTTATTGTGTAAGAGAGTTATGATTGATTTGTATGAACAATGTCTTGAGATCAGGACAAAGTTGGAAACTTTATAAAAATAGAAAAAATTAAAAAGAGCATTTGATTCTGTCAACATCTTTTGAAACTCGAACACAGAACTGATTTTCTATTGATAAAGAAACAAATTGCCATGGGACAGAATCTGTCTCTAAAAAACTGAGACCCTGAAGAGAAATGGTATCTCCACTACCTCAAAATCCAACTATTTTAAGTCTAGTTATTGTAAAACTGTCACTGCAGAACATGGCCTGCAGGCATTCAAGTTTAGAGCCTACAATGTTTCTAGTGATCAGAATTTCAGATGTGTTTTGTTAACAACTGAGATAAGAGTAAGACATGTGGTAGTGTAAGGCAATAAGCATAACCTCTCCCCTCTTAAAGTGAGATTGGCATTATTCAGTGAACTGCTTTTTTAGATAATCCCCCAGGCTCTATTGGAAATTGCACCACTAATAATTTTTTTTAATGTTATTTCCCTAATGTCACTTTTCTGCCTGGCATTGCTGAGTTTCTATTATGAGCACATATGAGCTATTCAATAGATTACAATCTTTGTGGCATTAATACTTGCCAAAACAATTAGACTATAGCATATATTGGTTTTCAAATGAGATTATAAAGGGAGTGTTACAACACTCTTTATTTATTGGTGGTGATGCAAAGTTTATTAGAAGGGATGGCAGCATGACACCAACATGTAATTATTCTGAGAAACACACAATCAGCTACAATCAGGGTCTTCAGCTGAAACATCATTATGCTGTTAAATCATCTCACACCTTTGCATGGGAGTTTCATTAATTTAGAAGGTGCTGTCACATTATGGTTTTGCCCAAGAAGTAGCTGGTTGGAAGCAGAGAATTCTTTTGTACTTAAACTAATGCTACAAAGTGAATGCAGAAAGTTACCATGCCCCGATTGCAGGAACAGTCTACATATAAAATAATTTATCAACCTTCTCCTAACCTAGGAAGTAGCCAAACAATTTGAGGAGTGTGGGAATAGAAAGTGGAGTGTCAAAAGACAAAAGGGTCCAAAACTTACTTAAGGTCCTCAGTGAAATTGTTCCTGAGAGTCTTAATGGATCTTCATTGAACACTGCCTCTCTGAAAACTGGACCATGGAAAATGCATCTGACTCACCAGTGATTAATTTTTTTGGTTTAAGAAACATACACAGATTAATGGGGTGTGCCTGATAATGGCATGTGGTTATTCAGGCTGTGAATAACCTCTAGGGTCTGTCAAAACAGGTGGCTTCAGGGTTAGTCTCCAGTGAAAAAGCAGAAAAGTTGGAAAAAATCTTTATTGAAGAAGCACACAGCAGACGAGAAGGGCGTATGAGGGAGAAGCAAAATGTTATTAAAGTACAGTATCTCTACAATGTTACATACAGTATTACACTAGCTATGAAGAACATTAACATCAAATGGTCAATTATATTAATTTTTCCAGATATATAATCTTAGAACTAGTCAGAAAAAGGACTTTTATACTTGAATGCAACGTTCTATTTTTCCTACAGAGAAAATAAGAAAGGTATAATGCTTTGACGCTGGCTGTTTTTCAACTTTTGTTAAACACTGGGCAAAATATTACCTGTATAGAGAGTTGCATGTACTGGCCAATGCCATGGTCCCACAGCACAGCAGGGACGGCGCTCTGTGCTGACACAGTTACTACCCCATCTGCTCAGTCACTGCACAGAGAAGCTGAGGCGCCGTCATGCTCAGCCAGCAAACTTCGGATCGGCCTGAAACCGCTCCTGATGGCGGGAGCTCGTCACCTGTGGCACCGCGGGGCTCAGCCGAGTCCCGGCAGCGGGCACAGCGCGGCCCAGCCCCGGTGGCCGGGCAGAACAGTTTGATGTCCCACCGCATCCCGGCCCCGCGCCTGGCTCTCCCCACCTGTGGGGATTTCGCCTCGCGCCCTGGTGGCTGGAATGGGAAAGGGCTGAGCCCGAGGCGGCCGCCGGGACGTTTCGCTCGGGGAGAGGAAAATTCCAGCCCAGAGGAGCGGCCCTGCCCCCGCTGGCCGCTGACAGCCCGCGGCCGAGGCCGAGCGGAGTCCCCGCTCCGGCCGCAGCTGGAGGGACAGCGGGTGTGTGGGGACAGCGGGTGTGCGGGGGCGGGCGGGAGGGAGGCGCTGGGACGGGAACAGGGAATCTCTGTCTCCGTGCGTGCCGGAGCAAGGAAGGTTCCGCATTTCAAGTTTCTGGCCGCGAAGTTCGGTTTAGCCTTTTTTTTTTTTTTTTTTTTTTTTTTTTTCTTTGCCTCTGTGTTTTTTCTCTCCTACGCCCAAGGTGTGGTTCCACGATCCGCAGGAGCCTGGCACAGGCCGTGACCGCGGCCGCCACCGCGGGCAGGCGCCGAGTGTCCGCGCCGTAAACAGCGGGAAATGCCCGGGCTCGGGGGCGAGGCGGTGCCCGGGGCTGCGGAGCGGGGCCGCCCTCCTCAGCCCGCCCCGAGCAGGTGAGGCGGGGAGCCGCGGCTGTGCGGGCGGGTCCCGGGCTTGCGCCCGCCCTGCGCTCCCTTGGCCGCCGGTATGGACGGTGTGGACGGCCGCGCTCGGCCGGCGGCCGCCCCGCCACCCTCCGGGTAAGCACAGCTCACGGCGCGGGCGGGAGCGCGGCCGCCCCCGGCTCCGCAGGAACAGCCGGCGGGAGCCGGGCCGTGCGCGGGGCTGGGTGAGGTGAGGTGAGAGCGAGGGGGCAGCTCGGGTCGGGGAGGCCGGGCTGTGCGCGCCCGGCTCTGAGGTGCGTTGCTTGGGACGCAGCCAGCGGCGAGAGGCGGCTCCCCAGCGCCGGGGACGGGCGTGCTCCCTGTGCCCCGTCCCGGGGCTCCTGCGGCGGGGGGAGGCGGAAGCCTCGGGCGGGACCGCGGGCAGATGGAGCCGCGCGACCGTTAAACGGCTGCCCCGACGGCGGCGGCGGGACCAGCCCGTGGGGCCGCGCCGCCCTCCTGGGCCGTGCCCGCCCGAGCCGCGACCCGCCCGCCGGCGTTGCCGTCCCGCTGCCTCGGCCGGACCGCAGAGCTGCCGGCGCGGGACCCGCCGGGTGCTCGGCGCCTCTGGCAAATAAATCACTGCGGGTCAGCACTTGCCGGTCGGAGCATCCTTGGGTGTGCGGAGTCAACTTCAGCTCTCTGGGTGAGAGTGGCGGCGGTCTGGGAGGGCTGCGCCCTCCTCGGTGCTCTGGGAACTGCCGACGCTGGGGAAAAGGAAATAAAACAAGCAGCATCTGTTTGGAGTAGTAAAAGGGCTAGCTTGTTTCTTTTTACGTGTTAGGCCCCTCCGTTTTTATTTTGCTTGTAGTAGAAAATCTAACGTTAAAGAAAATATTTTAAAAATTCTAAGTAAAACTACCCCAGTTATAGATCAGGAGGAGGATTTTTCCTTAACTAGTCAGGTACGTTTGAAGAAAATTAGTTTACTCAGTGACTTAACTAGGAACTGGAGTGAATCAAAACACTGGCAAGACTGCTGAAGTTATCTGTAAATAGAATAGACAAAATACGTGGTGGGTGTATCTTTTAACATGAACGTTTTTGTGGAACTTCCATACTGTTTGCAAAAATGGATTACTTGGGTTGCTGACCGAGCGGCTACAGGATAAACAGGTGCAGATGACTGCAGTTTACTGTAGTATTTGCAGCAGTAATCGAATCAGTTTGAAGTCATGGCTGTAGTGAATATGGAAGACTCATAAAGGGTGTTTATTCACTTAAGGCCTTGTCACCGTTCCACATTTATATGTAGCCGTTGAGAAATTGACTTTATATTGTTAATCAGTGTAGAAGGTATAATTATAGTATAGATAATTACTGCATTTTGAAGACTCTAAGTACTTAAGCATAGTTGGAAGGACTGAGTGTAGGATAATAGGTTTCTTTTCCAGGTTAGGGAGTGGCAAAAACAGTATGTCTTGAAAGTCTTCAGTTTTACTTGTGAGCAGGAACCTAAAAACAAGCAAAAAGATACAATTAAAACTTTGGCTCTTCTGACAGTTCCTCTAGGCCTGTTGCCTGCTATAAAGCTGTTGGACATAGTGAATTTTGACTGCTGCTTGACATCTGAGTTCCCTTTATGTGACTTCACGCATCTGCCAGCATCCCCTTCTCAGTTTTGAGATGAATGTGCCTAATAGTAGTGCTCATTGCATTAGCCTCGCAGAGAGATTTTCAGGCCTTTTATCAGCTGTTCACATATAATTTAGTACTTAGAAAATCAAATTGCCAGGCCTTTCTTGCTACAAAAGTTCTTTATTGACAGTCTTAACTATTTCCGTAAGATGGTCTCATTTGCTCGTGAAATGCTGGATTTGGGGAAAAAAATGTGGATATACCAGAAAAGAAGACAACTCCCAGTTTTACTGAAAGGAGTCCACAGAAATATTTTTGAATACTACACAGCTACTGTTCCTTCTCTGTGATGATAGGAAAATTTGTGCAATCTGGGAAGAATTTCAGTTGAAATAGCATTTTTCTTTAAATGTATTACCAAATGATGTAATATACTGCATTACATCTCTTCTTTACTTGTTTAGCCAGGTTGAAAGTGTTGCTAATTCACAGCTGAAAACTGTTCACTAGCCAATGTATTCTTAAATCACTGTTTGAAGTTCTGTGGAGTAATTGTTGGTAACTCTTAACAGCTGAGAAAGTTTGTTTATGCTAACTGCTGAGAAGGTAGTGTTTTGTAAATTTTCAAGCACTGATGTTAGTTAAAGCTTGGAAGTCCTATAACACTTGATCACTGGTGGCTCTTTAATAGAGAATTTTGTTATCAGATCCGTGGGGACAAGCTCTAGGAAAGGATCCTGTCATTTTTTATTATGTTTTTTTAAATGCAGGATTATGCTTTCCTATTGAAAAAATGTTTATTAAAACCGGTTGTGGATAAAAAATGGGGACAAGCTCTGGGAAAGGATCCTGTCTTTTTTTTTTTAATGCAGGATTATGCTTTCCTATTGAAAAAATGTTTATTAAAACCGGTTGTGGATAAAAATATTTGTCTGAATTTGATGAGAAACATGCCCATGTTATTCTCTCTGTACATTCAAGGTAAATAAGAAAAGATTTTTTTTAAAAATGGCCTCTGCTGGATTTTCTTTTTCTTGGTTTATAATGTGGTGAATAGAGACTGTGCCCAGCAACTGGCTGGAGTATTTTGGACTATGATGAATAGGAGGTGTGCCCAGTAACTGGCTTACCATGACACATAGTTTCTCCTGGCAGGAGAAACTTGGCTGGACAGTTAGGGAGTTTTGTAGCTCATCTATCGTACCCTGAGTCTGAGCAGTGCTTGTGGCACAGAGCTCCTGCCAGGCCAGTTGACAAAGTCTGCTCCTGTTCATCACAGAGCTGAATGTGCTTTATGAAATTACAGGAAAATGTGTGATTTAATAGTTATAAATAAAAAAAGGAGTGGCTGTAGTTGGTATCCTAGCTTCTGAACACAATTTTCCTACTCTTTCTGGACAGCAATCCTGTAACCTGGAGTAAATACTTTTTTTTTCATTATAAGTAGATGTCAGTAGTTGACACAGAATTTGACCATGAAGAACTGTATTATGGCTTAATATGCCATTAGAATATTGGAGCAAATGTGAATTTTGGTAAATGTAGTATTCATATCTTTTGAAATACTAGCCTTCCTGTTGAGATCCACCTTTAATTCAATTGTAATGCTTCTAAGAATTCTATGTTATTTCGTTTGTTCCTGTAAATCATATTAAAAGCTATATGCTTGCATACAAAAGAACAGCTTCTGACCTCCTTTACCCAAGCAAACCCCCTTGGTTTTTATCATTCTCATTGTGTGTGAAACAAAAACATGCTTAGGAGATGGAGCTGCTCTCCAGGGCCTGAAGACAGAGCTGGTTGTGTGGGGAAAGGGGCGGGGCTGAACAGCTTTGATTAGCTTAGTACCAAAACCACTTTTCCTGTGTGACTTCAGGTTCCCATTCACTGGTGCTTGGTGTAGTGGATGTAGTTAAAAATTTAAGGAGAACAGGAGAAATGTCTTTTTCACCTGATTTCCAGGGCTATCTCAGGTAGTAAGAGGTGTTTTCAGAAAACCCAAGAAATTTACCTTTTCTCTTGCATGTAACTGAGTTTTCATCAAATAATTTCAATCACAATATGGAGACATCAGCTGTGGCAGTTCTGGCAAATGTCTGGTGTCAAGCTTGGAATACTGATTTAAGCTCTCTTCCTTCTCTTTCAAGCGTTTGTTTGAGTCAGCTCACAACATAGCACAGGTTTGTTCAAGTATAAATGAAAGTCCTTCTTGTTGTGGAGTGTGAGAAGGGACAGCAAGTTTAGCAATAGCTTCAAACCAAGCATTCTATGCCTGAGCCACAGCCCCAGAGTGGGTGTGGGGACTTTGGTATGTGTCTGAATTTGCTCAGTTTGGTGAAATTTATGTAAGGGTGAAACTACATTTTTCTCTTGCAATGAATTATCTGTTTCCATTGCTCTGTATATTGTACACACGTGTTTATCGTTAGGTACAAGAACTTTTGTACTTGTGCTTCTAATTGGGTCTGTCTTAGATGTGGGTCTATCTAATGGGTCTATTTTAGATGTGCTTCATTTCTTACACCTGGGACTTCAAGATAATACTTACATGTTCTTCTCACCTCCATGACCCTGATGAGGAACAAGTAAATAGCAATAACAAAATAGAAAGAATTTTGAGAATTTGTGACTGTAGAGCTTGCTGGATGTTTGAAGCAGGGAGTTGGCTCCTTTGTGGGTGGATGCCCATCAGGAGCCACTTGAATGCTAATCATTCCAGGGGCCAGTTTGCCAGCTGAGTTCCAAATGTGCACATAACTCTTCTTGAGGTGATTATGTTGTTCTTATCCATGTATCTGCCTTAAGCAAGGCAATCTCAAATAGTGGAATGACGCTGATGCCATTAACTGAATGTTGTATTTAAAAGCTGTTTACTCAAACTTAGTCAAGTCTGAAGTCATAGCTGGGTGCATATGGAATAGTTACTGGTAATGTTCCCTGTTGGAGTGTGTTGCTGTGGGAATGAGATCAAGAAAACATTAGGGGGTGGAATGCGGATACTAGGGAGAAAAAATGTGTAGGAGGGTAATACACAAATAGAGATTAGCAGAGTTATTTCCAAGCTTGGTCCAAGTGTATTGGTATCCTGTGAAAAAGAAAAGTGAGAGCTAGATAGTGAGATATCAAAAGCATTTGAGGGGAAAAAGTGCTTGAGACTGGAAGGTGGGTTTTGGTGTAACCTTATGGTAGGTTCTTTCTGCAGTTACTGGATTTTTTTTTCATCTACTTTAAATGGGATCACAGTGTTTTCCTAAACCTGAAGATCACTATTTGTTTTGAGTAAGCCCGTGTGTGTTGGGTGGAAGAAGAAAAGAGTCCATTGTAGGGGACCAAAACCTTAGATTCCAGAGGAAACTGAAAGTTTCCTCTTTACAGGACTTCTGTCATCTGACAGACAAAATAATTGAGTAGGAATATTTTAAAGTCACAAACAAGTTGTTTCTCCTGTAATCTGGCAGCACCTAAATACGTCTCCCTTCATAGAGTGTAGTGCCATTTCTGACTATCTTTGCTGTAGCTTGGAAAAAAATTTCTGAGAATGCTGTATTTTCTAGCCTGACTGCTGTTCTAGGCTGCCACTGCTGGGGAACAGCAGATGCCAGATTATCCAGCCAGCCGTTTGAGCTGTTACAAGGTTAGCAAACAAGGTTAGCATGCTCAACTAAATATTTATTATTTTTTTTTCTAGAAATTAACAAGTCAATGTAATGAGTTGCCGTGTTAATGCAGTGGATACAAGGAATGCCAGGTGCTCTCCTTTATAGCTGCTTGCAAGTTAAACCAGATCTGATTGTGTGCTTTCTTCTCTTCTCACCTGGCTCTCCCTAGCCCAGAAGCTGCCCTGCTGCTCTAACTTGAGTTCACATAGCTGTCTGCAGTGTGAGGAAGTTGCTCTTCACTGCGAGTGTCACTGTGTACAGCTCTAAAAGAGCTGACGTTCAGGGCATTAGAGGATGACAAGAAACTGAGATGTTGGTTCCTAGATTCCCGTAGAGTTCTGTGGCTGTGCCCAGCATTAGCACAATGAAGAGGAAACTGACTGTGCAGCTTGCAACAATGGAGGGCTCA